CCCAAGCCCGCCTGAGCTGCTGTACCGCTCTTGTTTACAGAAGCTACCTGCCCACAACAACAACAAGGTGGGGTTTTGTCAACGCGTGTCTCGGTGTTTTGACTTAAAACTTTAGTAACTGCAGCAATTCATATTCTTGGTTCTTTCGGTGAAGTCACGGAGATAGAAAATAAAATAACAGAAATAAAATGAATAAAAGTAAACAAAATGTAAATAAAAAAACCCACGACGTTTTGACCCAACACAAGTGGCTTTATTTGATTTCATTATCTGTTGTTATTGCTATCTACGTGACTTTACCGGAAGAACCAAGATACGTGTGGAAATGTGTATCGGTCAAAGACGCTGCACGCGTGCTGATGTTGACTCTAAATGTGGAGGGGAAACCCGGGAGATCCGGAGGAAAATCCACGCGACCACGGAGGAGAGAGACACGCAAACTCCAAATATACAGCAGCAGCAGGCGTCAGGGTCGGGATCGAACCCACGACTTCCTGTATACCAGGCGAGGTAGTTAACATCTCACCACAGAGAGAGAGAGACACGCAAACTCCAAATATACAGCAGCAGGCGTCAGGGTCGGGATCGAACCCACGACTTCCTGTATACCAGGTGAGGTAGTTAACATCTCACCACGGAGAGAGAGAGACACGCAAACTCCAAATATACAGCAGCAGCAGGCGTCAGGGTCGGGATCGAACCCACGACTTCCTGTATACCAGTGAGGTAGTTAACATCTCACCACGGAGAGAGAGAGAGAGACACGCAAACTCCAAATATACAGCAGCAGCAGGCATCAGGGTCGGGATCGAACCCACGACTTCCTGAATTTAGCTTTTATACATATTCCTTTTGTAGCCAGACAGCCGAAATTGTGTGCTCGGAGTTTTTGGTTAACATTCATTTTTAATGACCACTTGCCCTCTCATTGTGTGCCATCACAGCCCGTGTGATGAATTTGAGAAACGTTTTTACTACATCATGAATATACGAATAAGTATAGACGTGTAAGTCACGTGTGACTGTATATATGCATTCTTCTGTGCCTCGATACTGGTGTGGATATTCCTATTATCTGTCTGCAGCTGACGCTTCCTTCGACGCTTCCTCTGCAGAATTGGTCTGATGGAGCAAAGGCAGTCAGCACAGCTCGGTACGGCAAGGCAACAATGCGACCAGAGTGCATACAGCACGGATCGCACTGGAAATTTGACACAGCACCAGAGAACACTCACAGGAGACAAACCCTTCAAGTGCAGTGTGTGTGGGAAGGCCTTTGCAAAGTCACGTAATCTTGTAGTACACCAGAGAACACACACGGGAGAGAAACGCTTCAAGTGCAGTGTGTGTGGGAAAGCGTTTGTACAGTCATCTACTCTTGTAAGACACCAGAGAACACACACGGGAGAGAAACCCTTCAAGTGCAGTGTGTGTGGGAAGGCATTTTCACAGTCACATAATCTTGTAATACACCAGAGAACACACACGGGAGTGAAACCTTTCAGGTGCACGATTTGCGGGAAGGCGTTTGCACAAGCATCCGTTGTTCAGGCCCACCAGAGAATACACACAGGAGAGAAACCCTTCAAGTGCAGTGTGTGTGGGAAGGCATTTTCACGGTCATTTCTTTTAAAAAACATCAGAGAACACACACGGGAGAGAAACCCTTCAAGTGCACTGTGTGTGGGAAGGCATTTTCACGGTCATCTTCTCTTAAAAAACATCAGAGAACACACACAGGAGAGAAACCCTTCAGGTGCATTCTGTGCGGGAAGGCGTTTACACAGTCAGAACATCTTCAAAGACACGAGAGAATACACACGGGAGAGAAATACTTCAAGTGCAGTGTGTGTGGGAAAGCGTTTGTACAGTCATCTACTCTTGTAAGACACCAGAGAATACACACGGGAGAGAAACCCTTCAAGTGCAGTGTGTGTGGAAAGGCATTTTCTGATTCATCTGTTCTTAAAAAACACCAGAGAACACACACAGGAGAGAAAACCTTCAAGTGCACTGTGTGTAGCATGGCATTTTCACGGTCATCTGCTCTTAAATATCACCAGAGAACACACACAGGAGAGAAACCCTTCAGGTGCATTCTGTGCGGGAAGGCGTTTGCAAAGTCACACCATCTTCAAAGACACCAGAGAACACACACAGGAGAGAAACCCTTCAAGTGCAGTGTGTGTGGGAAGGCATTTTCACTGTCAACTGCTCTTAAAAAACACCAGAGAACACACACAGGAGAGAAACTCTTAAAGTGCACTGTGTGTAGCATTGCATTTTCACAGTCATCTGCTCTTAAATATCACCAGAGAACACACACAGGAGAGAAACCCTTCAGGTGCATTCTGTGCGGGAAGGCGTTTACACGGTCAGAACATCTTCAAAGACACGAGAGAATGCACACGGGAGAGAAACACTTCAAGTGCAGTGTGTGTGGGAAAGCGTTTGTACAGTCATCTAGTCTTGTAAGACACCAGAGAACACACACAGGAGAGAAACCCTTCAAGTGCACTGTGTGTGGGAAGGCATTTGCATGGCCATCAGTTTTTCAGACCCACCAAAGTGCACACACGGGAGAGAAACCCTTCAAGTGCAGTGTGTGTGGGAAGGCATTTTCACTGTCATCTGTTCTTAAAAAACACCAGAGAACACACACAGGAGAGAAACCCTTCAAGTGCACTGTGTGTGGGAAGGCATTTTCACAGTCATCTGCTCTTAAAAATCACCAGAGAACACACACAGGAGAGAAGCCCTTCAGGTGCATTCTGTGCGGGAAGGCGTTTACACGGTCAGAACATCTTCAAAGACACGAGAGAACGCACACGGGAGAGAAACACTTCAAGTGCAGTGTGTGTGGGAAAGCGTTTGTACAGTCATCTACTCTTGTAAAACACCAGAGAACACACACGGAGAGAAACCCTTCAAGTGCACTGTGTGTGGGAAGACATTTTCACGGTCATCTTTCTTAAAAAACATCAGAGAACACACACAGGAGAGAAACCCTTCAGGTGCATTCTGTGCGGGAAGGCGTTTACACAGTCAGAACATCTTCAAAGACACGAGAGAATACACGCGGGAGAGAAATACTTCAAGTGCAGTGTGTGTGGGAAAGCGTTTGTACAGTCATCTACTCTTGTAAGACACCAGAGAACACACACGGGAGAGAAACCCTTCAGGTGCACTTGGCAGGAAGGCGCTTGCACTGTCATAAAATCTTCAAGTACACCAGAGAACGCACAAGCATCAGAAGATCTGCAAGGAGTGGAGTCTGAAATCAGCTTGTGAAAGTCAAAGTGCCGCAATGAGCCCATCTGTCATCAAACAAGAACCGGAGGAAAATCCCAGCTTTGACACTTAAAGGTATTGAGGTGAAATGTGAAGAGGTGATGGTGAAGAGCGAAGAAGCGAAGGTAAAATGTGAAGATGAAGATTAAACTGCAAAATCGGACCTTCACATTGATGGAGGCAACGTGAAGCAGGAGGAGAATTCTGACTGTGAGGCAGAGCGAGGCAACTCCCAGCAGGTTGTGGAGGTGGAGGTGTGGGTGGACTTCCTCCGAGACAACACAAAGTAAAATGGAGACCCGGCAGATGTATAAGCCTGAGACGATGTCGCTCCAATAGATGCACCATTGTCACTGGCCTTTAATGACAATAATGTGAAGTTGAACACTCAGTTCCTAGGTTCAACCTGCAGAGTAAGAGTGAGCGGTCAGTCTTTGTGTTTTCTGTGAGTTGGGTAGATCCCTGTGTTACGATCGAAACTTTCTGATCTACTATTATTTTTGCTACCAACATGACTTTACTGAAAGAACCAAAGAGTATGTGAACAAGAGCCTGTCAGTAGGGGGACGATGATGTTTCATGTCAGTTGTGTAATTTGTCGGTAATGTTGAGAATTTGCTACATTTTGACTCGAGACGCAAGCATGCAATGGCCTACTCGTTTTGAATGACACAATAGTATGTTTTACATCCACTGTTAAGCAGACGGTGCATAATTATTTGAAATAGCTTAACCTGGTGCAGTATATTTCACTGCAGTAATTACATTGTTAAAATGTAAAATGTCTTGTCAATAATTTAGAATGAACACTGATTTTGTGTACATGCAACATTTTATTTATAAGGGTCAAACATTGAATAAGTGATGTTAGGACAAAGTTTGTGTTTTTGGAAGTAACCTGTACAGATCACTCAGGTGAGACCCGTTGTTCTTGTGATACAGGTCAAAGGGTAGTATCCACACATGCCCGTTTGCTTTTAAATAAATGTGTGCATCTTTTGATTGAAAGCTTTCGTGACTGCAGTGAACTATTTGTCTTTTGTCAACGTGACAGAATCCTGTGTTGGGATCTTGAGAGATGATGATAGCTGGGGAGGCTTTCATTCAGCCATAGATCAATCACGGCTGACAATGGTCATTCCATTTACGAGACTTTACCCGGTGTAAGAGGCCGGAGTATACCCAAATGCCGTAGTATACCCACAGGCCGTAGTATACCCACAGGTGTAGTATACCCGGGGTCTAAACGGCCTAGGCGAGATTATAGCCGGGAATATTATTGGCTAGGCCAAATGATGCCCCTCTAGACCAAATCATACCCCCGTGATAGTAATGGCGTTAGAGCGATATACACGTGAATTACTAAATTTTTCCAACATTTTATTTTAAACTGTAAACACATCGACTTTGACTGCTTCAACCAGAAAAAAACTTTAATAATAACCCCTGAACCCTAAAAATGCTTCAATTGATCAAATTTAGATTCTTACTTCCACGCGTACGCGTTTTAGATATCGATTGAAGTTCGTTGTCGCCTGTTCTCTGTCTGGATAATTGCCTGTGAACTTTCACATGGGCATAGTCTGGCCAGGAGCGGTATGGTCTGGCCCAGTCGAGTTTAAACCCCCGGGGGGTCTAGTTTAGCCTTGGAGACTTCATCCCCCCCCCCCCCCCGGGTATACTCCAAATATACAGCAGCAGGCGTCGCCATGGTCTGGATCGAACCCACGACCTCCTGCGCACCAGGTGAGGTAGTCAACATCTCATAGCCACCGTGATGAGAGAAACACCGCAAACTCCAAGTATACAGCAGCAGGCATCATCAGGGTCGTGATGGAACTCACGACCTCCTGTACACCCGGCGAGGTAGTTAACATCTCCTAGCCACCGTGATGATGAGAGAGAGACACGCAAACCGTGGAGGTGTGGGCCCGTCCAGAGGGCGGTCAACGCAGCCCCGCAGTCATCGCCGGTGAGCCGCGCTCCAACCCCCATCCACCACCACCACTTCGCTTCCACACGTACACACACACGTACACACACACGTACACGTACACACACACGTACGTACACACACACACGCGTACACACACGTGCACACACACACGTGCAAACACACGTGCACACACACACGTGCAAACACACGTGCACACACACGTGCACACACACACGTGCAAACACACGTGCACACACACACACGTGTGTACACACACACACGTACACACACGTGCACACACACGCGCGTGTGTACACACACGTACACACACACACACACGTGTGTACACACACGTACGTACACACACGTGTGTACACACACACGTGTGTACACACACACGTACGTACACACACGTGTGTACACACGTACACACACGTGTGTGTACACACACACACGTGCACACACACACGTACACACACGCGCGTGCGCGGGGGATTAGGCTCTCTTGGTGGGGTTCAAGTCTGAAAAAATTGCCGTGCGGCATGTCCCAAGCCCCGCGGTGGGAATAGGCTATTCCGTTTTCCCGTCCGTCAACTTTAAATTAGTTTAATTAGCGATTTCATGCCATTCTTATTTTAATCATTTACTTTTTGTTCGAGCTCGACCGTACCAAGTGACGCCAATTGCGTGGACCCTGCCAAGTGATACGCGTTTAACATGCAGGACACACACACATAACGCTGCGGATTTTTCTTCACAGTCTCATGTCCTCTTCACCCCCCCCCCCCAACGCAATGCGTCCAGTTTATACTACAGAGTCCCTAGATAATAATACTAGAGTGCTTAGATACCATTATTCTTGCACGGGTGGGGGGATGGGTGTGGGGGTAGTGGCCCAGCCCCCAGCCTGCCAGCGTGCTGCCTCCCCTGCCTCGGCAATGTAGGCCAGGACGAGGGCTCCTCACGGGACTAGGCCTCACCAAGCCTATGTTAAGTACAAATTGCCTTGCTTCTGACGCTAACAACTCAGGTTCATTGTTTACTATTATTAAGCTAATTGGTTGCAACATATTACAATAATTACGTTTGTGTGCACATAAGAACTCTGGTTCATTGTTTACTATTATTAAACTAATTGGTTGCCAGATATTACAATAATAATGTTTGTGTGCAGATAACAACTCAGGTTCATTGTTTACTATTATCAAACATAAGTTGACAGATTTTACAATCATAATGTTTGCACAAAACATATTTTTAAATCCTTTATATTAAGTTCGCATGCTTGCGTGCTTGCTTGCTTGCTTACGACCGTGCAAATCTTTCGGTCGTTTTTTAACCCACTTCCCGTGATCCAATCGAGCTGACATTTTCCACACAGACTCGTTGTGCCAGACAATTAATGTTCGTGAAAAAAAATTCCCAAAATTTACACTTTTTAGGCAAAAAAATTATTTTACATATATTCAAATAGAACTCATTCTTGGCTTTGGCTGAACGTCACAGTATAAGAGCCCAGAGCGTAACCCCTCCACAGGCCGTGGCGGAGTAGCGCAGTTGGTAGCGCCCTTGCTTCCCATGCCAAAGGTCGCGGGATCGATCCCCGCGTCCTCCACAGGCGAATATATTTTTAAATCCTTTATATTAAGTTCGCTGCCACGCATATAAAGGATTTATAGTGAAAAACTTTGTTTTTACGGGTTATACTTCTTTAAATCCTTTATATTAAGTTCGCTTGCTTGCTGCTTGCTTGCTTACGACCGTGCAAATCTTTCGGTCGTTTTTTAACCCACTTCCCGTGATCCAATCGAGCTGACATTTTGCACACAGACTCGTTGTGCGTGACAATTAATTTTCGTGAATTTTTTCCAAAATGTTACACTTTTTAGGAAAAAATTATATGTAATTACCAATTGCTTAATGGTGGCAAGCAATCATCTGACCCATAGGTGGCAGCCATCTCAAGCCAGAGGACGAGAGGACTCTAGCCGCCACGCATATAAAGGATTTATAGTGAAAAACTTTGTTTTTACGGGTTAATTTTTTATTGGTTGGTTGCTAAATATTCCCTTTCTCAGCTGTGCTTTTATGACGCTGCGACCGGTGTTACTGCCAGTCTTTCATGTGGCCTGCTGCCTGCTGATTCATTAACGTCAGTGCACTGCCACTATTATCTACACTGCTAATTTTCCTTGTTACCATTATGAGTTTATGCCAGTCTATAATCTGTTGCCTGCTTCTTTACCTCACTCAGTGTACTGCCAGCCTTTCATGTCGACTGTATTCTGCTTTTTCAGCTGCTGCCCGTATTGCCAGGTTATTATGTCGACTGTAGCAATGCTTATGTCATTGAGTCGGCGTACTGCCAGTCTATCATCTAGACTGTAGCCTGCTTCTCAACTTACCTGTGCGTACTGCTGCTCTTTAATTTACAATTATTTCTGCTTATTTCTTCTATGCATTTCTATTGTTTTGATTGCTCACCTCACGCTATTTACTCATACGTAGTACTGCGATACTGATAGCTGTGCCATCATCAGGGATTACTGTGCACGGCGATGTGTGTGTGAGTCCATGTGTGTGTGTGTGTTTGAGTCCATATGTGTGTGCGTGTAGGGCCTTGCGTGTGTTTAAGTCCGTGTGTGTCTGTCTTTTTCGAATGGACAATGCCCGATGTGTGTGTGTGTACGTCAAAGTGTTTGTGTGTGTACGTGTCAGTCCATTTGTGTGCGTATCAGTCGCTGTGTGTGTGTTAGTCCATGTGTGTGTGTTAGTCCATGTGTGTGCTTTATTGACCTGGTTAAGGCCTATGATGCCCTCAGTAGGCCTGGGCTCTGGGTTGTTTTTCATGCTTTCCGAGTCCCTGACCCACTGCTCACGATCCTTAAGGACCTTCATGATGGTGAGCGGCCCCACATCATACTACGTGGCCGTGAGTCAGAGCCATTCCCTCTACACCTTGGGGTGCGACAGGGATGTCCTCTGGCTCCCACATTGTTTTACTTATATTTGGACCGCGCAGTTCGTGAAGCCTTCAATAGCTCTACCGAAAGAATTCCCATCTGGTACAGATACAATGGGAGGCTGATCGATGCCCGTGTGCGGTCAAGGGATGGCTCCCTATTGGTCTAGCATGTTACGTATGCCATTGATCTGCTAATTGATACTCACTCAGAGGAGAAGTTGGACGCGCTGCTGCTGAACCTGGAGCTTGCTACTAAGAGGTGGAGCCTTACCATCAGCCCCACCAAAACTAAGCACCTGCCTGGCTATTTTGTACCATCGGACAATCCACCCCACAACTCTCAATTGCTGATGGGGCAGTTGTGGAGAGAGTTGAGAGTTTCCCATACCTGGCCAGTGTGTTCAAGACCGGTTCCGGTTTCACAGCAGAGGTCTCATTGGCTGTGTTACACTGTGTGGAAGCTACCTGCTCTCTCGCTCCGCACGAAGCTTCAGGTCTTCTCGCCCACGGTCATTCCCTTCTCAATGCTTGCGAAACTTGGACCCCCCTAATGGAACATCTTCGCCGGTTAGAAACATTTAGTCTGGCCTGCCTACGATCCATCCTGGGTTTAACCAGGCTGGATTGTGTGATGAGCTCACAAATCTTTCACAGATCTGGACAAAGTCCCATGGGTGAGCTCCTACGGCAGGCAATGCTGCATTTGCTGGGCCATGTAGCCCACATGCCCAGCCACCGCATGCCTAAACAGCTTTTGTTTGGCCGGATCGAGGGGGCTAAACGGGCGTGGCACAGGCTAGAGAAGAGATGGAATGATGTGCTACATGAGGATGTGGAGCTTAGTTGACTTGTCGATGACTGATACCAGCGGTGTCAAGATCGGCCTCTGTGGAGGAGGCTCGTGAAGGACGCTACTGGGTAGTTGGAGACACTCGCCCTCCAAAAACAACGGAGGGCGGAGGAGCGACTCTCAGAACAACGAGCGGAGCGCCGGGTGGATAAAGCACGGCAAGTTGGCACAGTAGAGGGCACAGGTGGTGCATCAGCCAGTCATCTCGGTCATCTCAGTCAGTCGACACGTGGCACCTGGGTCTGCCCCGTGACCTGCCAGGCCATGTGCCCTCAAGGCGCACATGGCCTGGCACAAGCATTGTCATGACGTCAACGCCACTTAGTGGCGAATGGCGGTTGTTGGTGTGTATACGTACATGTGTGTGTGTGCGTAAGTCCATGTGTGCGTGTGTGGCTCTATGTGCGTGTGTAAGTCGATGTGTGTGCGTCGGTCCATGTGTGTGTGTGTGTAAGTCCATGTGTCTCTTAGTCGATGTGTGTGTAAGTCCATGTGTCTCTTAGTCGATGTGTCTTTGTAAGTCCATGTGTGTGTAGGTTAATGTGTGTGTTAGTCTATGTATGTGTGTGTGTGAGTCCATATGTGTGTGTAAGTCTACGTGGGTGTGTGAGTCGATGTGTGTAACTTCATGTGTATGTGCCTAAAGTCGATGTCTGTCTGTGTGAGTCCATATGTGTGTGTGCGTGTTAGTCGATGTGTGTGCGTGGGTCCATGTGTGTGTCTCTTAGTCGATATGTGTGTGTGTAAGTCCATATGTGTGCTTGGGTCGATGTATGTGTGAGTCTACGTATGTGTGTGTGTGAGAGTCCATATGTGTGTCTGTGTAAGTCGATGTCTTTGTGTGTGTGGGTCAATATCTGTGTGTGTAGGTCGATGTGTGTGTCTGTCTTTTTCGCCCGGGCAACGCCGGGTACTTACTGCTAGTTATTCATAAGAAAGGTTTTTGAGTTATATTGCGTAAGTGTTGTGTCCTGTAACTAACCGCACGGAGACGTCTGCTGGAGGCAACGCGTTTATTATAACAACTCTGAACACTCTGTGACACTACTCTGTGACACTACTGTGACACTACTGTGACACACTACTCTGTTAACACGGAGGGGTACGACTCCTTCCACTCGATAGCCTAAGGGAGAGACAGCCTCCCTCCTAGCGTTCTCTACCCACTTCGGGCTACACTACACGCCGGTCCCTTGCGACGGCGGCTAAGGGAAGGCCGGACCAACCGACCCACCCAGGGTACGGGACTCGCCCTGGACCGCTACAACCGGCTTAACGAGAGCCACGGGTGAGCGTCCCCGGGTGCCGGTCGGGTCTTCAGATCATGAGATGTCTACGAGTTTGAGTTGGTGAGTACTGGTCCCGTCTTCAGATCTTTAGATGTCTTCGAGCTTGAGTTGGTGAGTACTGGTCCCGTCTTCAGATCTTGATGTCTTCGAGTTTGAGTTGGTGAGTACTCTTCTTGGTTCTTTCGGTAAAGTCACGTAGAAGGGAAGTAATAAAATAATAAAAATAAAACATAATAAAATAAAATAATTCTCACGACGTTTCGGCTACAACGCAAGCAGCCATCTTCAGGTGAAGAATGAGACACTGCCAAGCTAGGAGCTTATATATACGCTGGGTTGGAGGTGCAAGAAGAGCGCCTTAACAAAAAGAATGTGCATATCAAGAGGAATTTAGCATATTCATGGGAAATGCGTAGGAGGTGGGCGGGGGGGTTTCAAAGTCATATTATGCCCATGCATTATGCAGGATTAGCAGCACCAAGGGAGGGTGCAGGGAGTAGCATTAACAAAGGAAAGGAATGTTAATAGTATGTAGCTGCAGTTACTAAACAACCACGTAGAAAACTAAAGTATAAACTACATAAAAAACTAAAGTATAAACTGCATAGCACCATCAGTATACTTACTATACTCTACAATAAGCTGAGTTACTAACAGCAAGTAATACATTACAATTCTACGTCGTTAAAATTATATAATATGCTTCCATCTAAACTTTATTCTCTTACATCACACGAGCATACACCGTATTATATACTGCCATAGATAAACCCAACATTAAATTATATACTGTATTGCTATAAACCACCCTATACCTTATACATTTTAATATAACACTATGTATTATTCTACCCACCCTAATGTGTATCACACTGATATATGTTAACTATACAATTACGATACTATATATTACTTGTACATTGTATTAAGCATATAAATGTTATACTATTTGGTATTATACACTGTACCATTAACCGTCGTGTCAATGGGTGAGACGTGGGAGGAAAACTTGCAGCGGAGCAAAGAATCCATTCCCTGCGGAGAATACAATGCCAGTGAGTGGAACGCGGTCTGAAAGTCACCGTAAACGTGAACACAATCAGTTAAGATCCGAAATGGTTTATTACGTCCTTCCAATGATTGCTAAGCCAGAATCCATCTTCTCGGTTAAAATTGTCTCTGTGTTTGTATATGTGGATCGCCTCATGAACGAATCTCTCATGATAGCCAGATGGCTTGCAGAGAACCTCTGTCTTGGAGAAGTCAATGTCATGTGAGCCCACTGAGTTGTAACAGTGATCTGCCACGGCTGAGGTGTTTGTCCTACCGTGTTTCAGGTCTGCTTTATGTTCACGGATGCGGTCCGAGACATGTCGTTTGGTTTCCCCAATGTAACTGCTACCACAGAGGCAACTTAGTTTGTAGACGCCAGGGTACTGTATGTCTGGAACCACATCTTTTACAGACGGGACCAGATCACGGATTTTATGTACTGTGTTGAATCGGACCTGGATCTTGTGTTTAATCAGGATTTTGGAGATCTTTTTTGTGACCCCAGCAATGTAGGGTAAGGTGATGGTCTTGAAAGGCTCCTCAACAGGATCCTTCTTGATGGTTGGAGTGATGGCTTTGCGGATTGTGTAGTCGGAGTAACCATTAGCCTTAAGAGCTTGGCGTACGTGTTTGAGTTCACTGGCAATGTGTTCCTGGTCGGAGATGCATTGGGCTCTATGGTATAGAGTCTTGATGAGGGAATTCTTCTGGGATGGATGGTGGTGGGAATCCGGTTTTAGGTAAGCATCCGTATGGGTGGCTTTCCTGTAGACAGAGTGGCTCATTGAACCATCAGGTCTCCTTTGAATTAGGACATCCAAAAAGGGTAGCTTGCCATCGTTTTCGACTTCCATGGTGAATCTGATGGCTGGGTGTATGGAATTGATGTGGTCGAGAAATTGGTCTAGAGCAGGCCGGCCATGTGGCCAGATGACAAAAGTGTCGTCTACGTACCTCTTCCATAAGGTCGGGCGTAGAGTGGCAGTCTGGATGGCGTCAGTCTCAAATTTCTCCATGAAGATGTTGGCTACAACCGGAGATAGGGGGGAACCCATTGGGGTGCCCTCAGTTTGCTTGTAGAAAGTTCCATTCCAGGTGAAGTATGTATTGGTTAAGCAGTGTCTCACCAGGGGGGTACCCCAGCATTCAGTCCTTGATGAACCAAGTCTTCAATGATTGCGATGGTGTCAGGTACAGGAACCTTGGTGAATAAGGAAACCACATCAAAACTGACAAGCAGGTCGTCTGGGGGCAGGGCAGTAACTGCAGCTACATACTATTAACATTCCTTTCCTTTGTTAATGCTACTCCCTGCACCCTCCCTTGGTGCTGCTAATCCTGCATAATGCATGGGCATAATATGACTTTGAAACCCCCCCGCCCACCTCCTACGCATTTTCCATGAATATGCTAAATTCCTCTTGATATGCACATTCTTTTTGTTAAGGCGCTCTTCTTGCACCTCCAACCCAGTGTATATATAAGCTCCTAGCTTGGCAGTGTCTCATTCTTCACCTGAAGATGGCTGCTTGCGTTGTAGCCGAAACGTCGTGAGAATTATTTTATTTTATTATGTTTTATTTTTATTATTTTATTACTTCCCTTCTACGTGACTTTACCGAAAGAACCAAGAAGATGAATCCCTGCAGTCACGAAAGCTTTAAATCGAAATTTGGTGAGTGCTGGTCCCGTCTTCAGATCATGAGATGTCTACGAGCTTGAGTTGGTGAGTACTGGTCCCGTCTTCAGATCTTGAGATGTCTTCGAGCTTGAGTTGGTGAGTACTGGTCCAGTCTTCAGATCATGAGATGTCTACGAGCTTGAGTTGGTGAGTACTGGTCCCGTCTTCAGATCATGAGATGTCTACGAGCTTGAGTTGGTGAGTACTGGTCCCATCTTCAGATCTTGAGATGTCTTCGAGCTTGAGTTGGTGAGTACTGGTCCAGTCTTCAGATCTTGAGATGTCTTCGAGCTTGAGTTGGTGAGTACTGGTCCCATCTTCAGATCTTGAGATGTCTTCGAGCTTGAGTTGGTGAGTACGGCCTCGATCGTCTGGGGTGCACGCACCCCCAGGGGATTGCTTTTCTGGAGGTGCGAGACACGAGAAGCGCACTTTTATTGGAAGGTCAAACACACATTAAGCACGTGCATGCAAGTACAAGAACTTTGTTTCATCAAAGTTGTTGATAGTATGCAGCTCCATACTATTAACATTCCTTCCCTTTATTAATGCTAACCCTACTCCCTCCCTTTGATGCTGCTAATCCTGCATAATGCACGGGCATAATATGACTTTGAACCCCTCCCACCTCCTACGCATTCCACAAGAAGTGACTAATCCCATATCTGCATTTTCCATAAATATTCTAAATTCCTCTTGATATGCAAATTCCTTTGTCAAGGCGCTCTTCCCCCTCCAACCCAGCTTAAATAGTCGCTCCAAGCATGGTGGTGCTCATTCAGACGCTGTCTTTCCGACAGACCTGTTCTTCACCTGAGGACGGCTGCTTGCGTTGTGGCCGAAACGTCGTGAGAATTGTATTTTGTTATGTTTTATTATTTCCCTTCTACGTGACTTTACCGAAAGAACCAAGAAGATGAAACCCTGTTTATTAATAATATGCATTTTTTTATGATTTGAGAACCAATGGGGGTGCAAGGCTGCAGTGAAGGTGAAGAACCGCTGCCCCACGGGGAGACCAGACCGCACCGCTGGAAGCGTCTGCCATCGCTTCACGAAGGCGGCGACACCAACCTCGCAAACCGACGCTCGCGCGCACGTTCTAGCGGTCCGCCGCGCCGGCTCGCTCACGGCACCCGGCGTCGTTGTGTCCGCAGGCCTCTTCGACGACTGCCTCTACGGCCGGCACGACAAGGGATGGTCGCTCGGCATCGTCCACGCGAAACCCTGCCGGGACGCGCCCCGGCGGCGCCGCCGCGGACGCCCGCGCCCCGACCCGCTCGCGCTTCTACTTCTCCTTGAGCGCCGACAACTCGCGCTCGGCCACGACGCTCGCATCGCCCCGGCGCTACGTCCCTGACGAGTGGACCCACCTGGCCGCCACCTACGACGGCCGGCGGCTCGACCTCTTCGTGAACGGCGCGTGGGTGGCCGGGTCTCGCGTGCCGGGCCGCGCGGGGCCGCTCTTCGCCCCAGGGGTGGCCGTCTGCAAGACGCTGGTGGCGGGTGGCGACAACGCGCGGGGCGGGCGCGCCTACCGTGGCCTCCTGAGCGGCCTGCGGCTCTGGCGGCGGGCGCTCGGCTCCGGCGAGATCCGCGCGTGGGCCGAGCGAGGGGTCCGCTCCAGCGGCGACGGCGACGCGCCCGCGGCGGAAGTCGCGGGCGGCGACGACTTCGGCGAGCTCGAGGACGGCGGCTGGTCGACGGTCGAGGGGGCACCTACCCCAGCGTCCGGTCGGTGCGGGCGAGCGGCGCGGGGACGGCGGCCGAGCCGGTGCCGGTCCCGCCGCCGTGCGGGCGGACGGCGTGCGACGACGTGCGCGTCGTCTCCAGCTACGACGGCCACTGGCCGCTGCGCGAGCCCAAGGTGGCGCGCTACCGCCTGGTCAACGTCTACGGGGCCCCCGGCGAAAACCCGACGGTCAGCCGCGAGCAGGTCGAGGAGCAGCACCGCGTGCTCAACCAGGCCTTCCAAAGGTGGGGGCGGGCGGCCCGCGTGTGTGGGGGTACCCCCTCACGTGCGTGTGTGTACGTGCGTGTACGTGCGTGTGACCGTGGGGAGCGGCGGTGTAGCGGTTAGCGCTACTCTGCGCTATGAACCCGGCGACCCGAGTTCGATTCCCGCTCACGGCCACCGCCAGTGACGATTATTTTAATCGCTCCTGGGCCTCCCCTAGGTCGACTCAGCCTCAAATGAGTACCTGGCGTGGTGTGTAAACATTGCCACTGGGGAGACAAAGGCGGCCGTGCGTGGTGCTGGCCACCCCCCCCTCGTGTGCAGTGCCAGCCTTCATAGGTGCTGCTCGCTAACAGCACTTGCACCAACAGCCTGTGAAGGCTATGCAGGGGATCTTTGTCTTGTGTGTGTGGAGCAAATTCCTGCACCATCCGACATCTCTCAAACTAATTAAATTGTCACAGGTGTGTACAAGTGCCTGACGTGGCAATGATTGTTGTTTCATTATTTTTGTGATCGCTGTCAGAATTGTTCTTCAATTTTACCAGTGAGCCGAAACAACGTCAAGAGCTTGTACACCACGTGACCACTAAATTTGTCGGACGGAGGAGAGTTTCTCGACAGAACATTTGGCCACATAATCTACGTGGCCCAACCCCAAAACAATCTATCGTGTACCGGTAATGCTGACGTTTGTTTGTGCCGCACGACCACCACCTGACTTCTGTGAACCCGCGCGCAGGTACAACATCTCCTGGGAGCTCACCGTCGTGGACGTTGTTAATGCCTCGCTGCGCCAGCGCATGATCCTGGCCAACTGCGAGCACGCCAAGGTGGGCGATGGGCACTGCGACCCCGAGTGCAGCCACCCCTTGACCGGCTACGATGGGGGTGACTGCCAGCCACCCTCCGGCCACCACCCATCGTCCTCCTCCTCCGCCGCCGTCGTCATCTTCGTCGTCGGGACACGCGGCCGATTGCGATTGGGACGCGATAGCGAACGGCGTTTGCGACCCCGAGTGCAACACGGCGGAAAACGCGTTTGACAACGGGGACTGCTGCGAGCAGACCTCTGGCAAGGTGACGGAGACCTGCTTCGATCCCGAGTCGCCCAACAGGTGCGGCGCGTGTGTGTGCGCGTGTGTGCGCGTGTGTGCGCGTGTCGCGTATAAGGTTTTTTTCAATTTTATTTGACTTTTTTTATGGAAAATACCGCAGAGGTAACGCGCGCCCGTGACCAATGCGCACGATCGCGCCGGTCGCCAGGTGTGACGCCGTTCCGAGTTGGTCGCCGAAGATCGCCACCATGTCCTGCCTTTCCCAGGATCGTCCTGCTCTCCATCTTTGAGCCTCATCATCGCAAAGTATTCACGGCTCTTGGTCGTACAGGAAGAAGTAGAATTTTTTTAATAACGATAACAGATACAATATTATTCATAATACACGTTTTTGGGTGAGATCGCATTATTTTTAAATGTGTCGCGATCTAACCCAAACACTTTATTATGAATAATATTGGTCACGAAAGCCCCTACGTGTTAAAGATACGATATTGACTTTAAGAACTAACAAATCAAATATTTAATTGCCAGTGTTACATTAATTATTCAACCGTTTTAACATGCGTGTCTTCTATTATATTTTTAATTGTCAAAAGTGATATTCGGTGTTTGTTCTAGGTTAGGAGCAGCGTTGTGGAATGACTGTCCGAGACGCGCGTTGTTTGACGAGCCGCGCGTTGTTTCTGCGTCCAACAAGGATCTACCTGGACGTGGAGGAGCTCCAGGAGATGTTGATGCTCGACGGCTCGACGCATCTCAACGTCTACTTCGCAAACTCCGCCGGCGAGGACCTGGCCGGAGTGGCCACTTGGCCCTGGGATAAGAATGCCCTCACCCACCTCGGTATGAGCCGATGTTTGTTGTTGTACGGAGTAGCACTGATGGCCTTGATCTAAGTTGTCTTGTGGTTGTTGTTGTTGTTGTTTGACTTGCATCCCACTGGGATTTTTGCACACAGTGTTGGTGTGTAACGGTGTTTTTTCTGCAATTTTTGCTGTCTTTTCTTGGATTTTCTGTTTGCACTTAGTCACATATTCACTTTAAGATGTTTTCTTGTTCATGTTTTTTGTTTGTTGCGTTTGCACCCGATTCAAGAGCCGAATGGCTCACAGGGCTACACCTAGTACATCGACTTGAACTTGACTCGCAGTCGGAGCCTATTACAGTGGTCCTGAATCCATGGGGGGTGGGTGGGGGGGGTGACCCCGGGGGGTGACTGCAGGTATTGTGGTCTATGCAAATATGACTCCTTGTAAAAAGGTGTCAGTTTTGTTGCCAGAAAGAAGGGTTAAAAACCAATTATCATGAATAAACAAATTAAGAAATGGCACCAAAACAATTAGCACAAGCAGAGAAGTTTTCACGATAAGTTAATAATCATTCACGAGACGTAACGTGAGAATGTGGACTAATTTGCAGTGCCCTCGTCCGTCCGCTGCTGAATGAATGCCTCTCCTCTCTCCACGCTTTGTCGGACATGGGGCTCGTTCACCATACAACGGGGTCTGTGCAGGTTGCGACGAAGGAGGGGGGGGGGAGTAGAGGTGTGGGTGCGAGGGACGTGTTCAGAGATCCCTTGCCCCGCGCTCGTGTTTCGCCCCGCCGGAACAGAACTCCGGTTGGGCACGGCGTGTAAAACCACCGTCTGGCTTGCGGCCCCGTGAGCGACAGAGATTGTGAGATGCGTGTGTCGTTTTGCAGGATGGCCATTCGGCTTCATTGGGATAAACAAGGGTGCTCGTTGTGTACAGTAATTAGTGCGAAAATGGTAAAACGGCACAATCCGGAATCTGATGATGTTACAATGGCTGCCTATATTTTGACGGAGATGGAATTAGTTTTTTGCTCCATCTAAATGATAAATGCCACAATTGAAGTGGCTGCAATTGTCCACGGCTTTAATCGCGTGTTTTAAAATTGGGCCTCCTGTAATTTCCGTCTGCGACGGCGCTCCATCTCGCCGTCAGTGTCTGCCACGCCGATGATTGCGTATCGATTATAATCAATCGTCGTTGTTAATCGTTGGGAACGAGCAGGTGGTGTGGTGCTCAATTCCACGTACTATGGCAAGGCCGGCCACACGCACACCATCATCCACGAGCTGGGCCACGTCCTCGGACTGTACCACGTCTTCCGGGGGGTGTCGGAGACCGAATCCTGCGACGACCCCTGTCGGGAGACCACGCCGTCGCTGGAGACGGGAGACCTGTGCGCCGACACGGCCCCCACGCCGCAGAACAAGCTGTGCCACGACCCAGAGCCTCGCAACGACACCTGCGGCCAGCGCCACTTTCAGCACACGCCATTCAACAACTACATGGGCTACGGAGGTGAGGCTACGCGCTCATTCTTGGGGTTACGTTGGGTCCGGCTTTGCCTGCAGCTCTCTCCCACCCAGTGCGGGGCCTGTAGCATATGTTATAAAGGGGCCCTAAATGAAAAAAAGCGCAAATATTAAAACACAATTTTTAACTTGCACAGTAAAGTAATTGTTTTTTTTTCGTCTACTATGCAGCCAGATAATACGACAAATCGGTAACCTTAAACACCCGGTCGTTCATAAAAGTTGAAGGCGGTATAGTACTATAGTAATAGAGCAAGTGCAGAATCACTGAACCGGAATTGATAATAGCTTGAAAGCATTTATAGCGGGAGCCCTTGAAAGTGCGAGGACCGAAGCTACTACATAGCAGCTACCCGTACCCGGCCGGGTACGGGTACGAGTAAGGAATCGAAACCCGTTTGCGACCTCCGGTGGCCACGTGCCCACCTACTGCGGTCTACGAGCGACCCCGGAATACATTCGACGAGGAGTTAAGTTCCCCTCCGTGTCCACCGTGCACGCGGCGGTTTGTCGTCCTTCCCGGCACCTCCGGTGAGCGCGGTTGGTCACGTACGGTGCGAAAGAAGTCCAACGTGCATGCGTGTGTCCCTCCGTCGGATCTGTTCGGAGAAAAAAATATCTCGCGCTCACGCGCCTAATACCAGCGGCCACTCCTCCGTGCCGTTGTAAAGTGTCCGCTCAAAAAGCAATCGGTAGTTCGCCTGTTACCCGTTGGGGTCGCGTCATCTGATGAAGCCCTTATTATAACTGCTGCTGCTGCTGTGCTTCTAAAGTGACTTCAGTCGGCCGTGTACAAAACAACGTCGTCGCGAAAGTTTTAAATCGAAATTTTACACAGCAGATGTCGGATTTCACATTTCATTTATATAAAGTTTTTTTTTTATCTTGTCAGATAAGGCCCCACCACTGAGCAATATAGCTTTTGTTTGAGAAGCGACCTGCCCACGAACGATAGCTCCAACGAAGTGGCTTGTCACGTGGATGTTGAGAGCAGCCAATTCTGCTGCTGGGTGCTGGCCATGACAAAGAAATTGGCCAAGGCGGACGAACGGTTTCAATTTCGCCGATCAAAGCCGCCCCAGGGACACGCGTCCGATAATCGCACTTGTATTCTGTTTTGGAGGGTCTGTAAACGGAGACAATATTGGGGCGCCGTCCTTGGTGTGGTGGGTAAGCAGGACTTGATAGAATCAACGCGAATGATCGATTGTGCACCACGTAAACAAAGGCTTTTTCCTTTTGTTGTTACGCAATATGGAGGCTACGTGAGATTACTTAAAACGGACTGTCCTCAAATTTTGTACAGGATACGCGGTGTTGCATACATTTGTGGTCATTTGCACACAATTGCATCCGTATATTATTGCATCGATATTTCATGTTAAAATGGTATAAATACGTAGACCGATGAGCCACCAGTCATGTTACATTTTGTGTTATGATTCATTGGAAGAAGAAGAAGAAAAACAACGCAAGGGTACGTATGAATGACCTTGCATTTCCCCCAGATGTCACGTAGAGCAATACCTGCGGTGTGAGTGCGACAATGATGTCTCTACCCTCTTCCCCCCCCCCCCACCTTCATTCTCATCAATCCTTCGCCTCGCCACCACAAACCACCACCCCGTCCCTCACCTCGTCTAAACGCCCCCGTTGTCATCACTTCCCCCACCGACCCGCTTGGAATTCCAGACGATGACTGCACCGACTCATTCACGCCGAACCAGGTGGCGCGCATGCACTGCTACCTGGACCTGGTGTACGAGGGCTGGCGCCTGGACCGCGCCCCCCCCCCCGTGCCGATGCCGCCGATCCCCGTCGCCCAGGACGAGGGCTCCCTCACCCTGCAGTGGATGCCCCCCGTCAACGGCCACGTCTTCCAGAGGTGTTCCTGCACCTCCGGTCCCCCCGCCCGCCCGCCCCAGCTCGCTTCTTTCTCTTTACATTTATGAGGCCGCGATAGAGATGGCGGAAGTGGATGCGGTGAGGCGAGAGAGAGAGACGCGCGTCGGCACAGAAGGGTAGAAGAGATGGGACGAGGGATGAGAGAGATGTGCACGAGAGGGAGAGATGAGAGAGATGTGGATGAGAGGGAGAGATGTGGTGAGATGAGAAAGATGTGGAGAGATGAGAGAGAAGAGGAAGAGATGTGGAGAGATGAGAGATGTGGACGAGGGAGATGTGGACGAGAGGGAGAGATGTGGACGAGAGGGAGAGATGTGGAGAGATGAGAGAGATGTGGACGAGAGGGAGAGATGTGGAGAGATGAGAGAGATGTGGACGAGAGGGAGAGATGTGGAGAGATGAGAGAGATGTGGCGCAAGAGATGTCGGTGTGATGAAATGAGAGTCGTGATGAGTTGGATCTAAATTCGACCCAATGCATTTGGTTCCTCCCTGCATTTTCTTGTTGTTGTTGTCATGAATCCCAGAGAGCCCTTGAGCTGCTTTGGTGCCCTGTGCCTTTGCCCACTTTGCTCGTGCCTAGCGGCGACACCAACGACTGCCCGTCCTCGCCACGGAACGCCACATTCACAAAGCGCAACGCACAACGCCGCGCCGCGCCGCCGACAGACGCAGTGGTTCTGTTTCGATTTGGGCTAGCGGGGGAAGTTGGGGGAGAAGGGGGGGGGCAGGGGAGGTGATGGGGGGGGACGGTGCCCCCCTCCATCATTTCGCCGCCAAAGAGGCAAAATGGTTCAGCCGAGAAAGCGGGCGGGGGTGGGGGGCGATTTGTGTGGTGCCTGCCGGAGGGACTGCCGATTTGTGGCCGGATAATGGGAGTTGTGGAATAAGAGCGGTGACAGCTTTAAATCCCACTTGTGGACGACGCGTTGCTCCACTGCGGGGGCCGCGCGCGTGTGCGTGGTGGCAAGTGCCTCTTGGCAGTTTGCGGGGCATTCCAAACTTTCTAATGCAACTTTGTGTGATTTGTGTGGCATCAAGTTCTGTTTTGCTCCCTCGCTGGAGTGAACGCACGAGGAAATTTTCTGATGCAATTATGGGGCAAATCCACACACACACCGCTGCTGCTGTAGCATTATCCATGCGGTGTTGGATGAGTGCTCGCTCAGGGGTATGAGCGTTGTCCTATGAATCCGGCGACCCGAGTTCGCTTCCTGGTCACAACGAATATCAGTGGGGCGAGCGGTGTCTGGATCCACCACCCCCCACCTCCCTCCAACTTCACCAATCTGATTTCCAAACGAATGCACACAAAGTGCTTGCCACAAATGAGCCGCAGTAACTTGCTTAATCTCGCCAAGGAGTATCGGCCACCGCCACCAGCACGCGAACTCCGGCCATCCTTGCAGGGGCGGCATCTGGCTCGCAATCGGACAGAGACGGGGGTCACCGCGTCGCGCTCTTTCAGATGCTCTTCTGCGGCCGTCTGGAACGCTCTTCCTTCCGATATTAGGAAGCCGCTGGAGCTGCGCACTTTTCGATGTAGATTAAATAACTCATTTTTGTTGTGCGGTTTAGTTTGTTGTCCTCCCCCGCACCTCCGATTAGCATGGGTTGGCAACGTACGGTGCGAAAGAAGTCCAACGTAAATACGTACGTAGGTGCAATTGGCACGAACCAGAGTTAGTTTTGTCAAAAATATCCCCGTGGCCGACCGGACGTGGGGGGAGGGGGGTCTTTCATCAAGCAGTGGACCGACACGCGTTAGGAAATGACGATTTCGTTTTATCCGGCAAAGTGTGTAACCCGCTGGTGCGTTCATACTCTTGTTTACTGCGATCGTTTCATGTAGCAGTGGTACCTCCGGAGACGTTTCAGGGCCACTGAAAGAAAGAAACCGGCGTGAGCTTGAACTCATGGCGAGTCCAATGGTTGGGAAATGAGTGCAATTGTCCGCCCCACCTCTCCCCCTGTGTTTTATTTAGATTAATTAGACAAAGTTAATCGAATGTTTGAATAATGTTTACTATGAATGTACGGCCCGATTTAAATGTTTTAATTTTGGGACCCCCCCCCCACACCTCCGCCACCCCTCTCCACCGGCCCCTCCACATCCCCTTTGAAAAGTTTCTAGATCCTGCTGCCTCGCTTTGAAGCAAAGCTTCCGTGCCTGAAAGCTAATGCCAGTGGTGCGCACGCGTACGTCGTGAACTTTGTTCACGACGTACGCAGCCGACCGTGGTGCAGGAAAAAGTCGGAGGCGCGGGGAGCCGTGCGATTCAAAGGAGTTCTTGGATAGGACCCCCCCCCCCCGTTCATGAAAACAAAACAATTTGGCGCTAAGCGGGAACTGGCTCTCTGCTCGGTGTCTCGTGGTCACGCCATTGAGCTGCGGGGGTCTTCGTTGCCCCGTTGTTTCGCGGACAATCCCTGCGCGGTCGCTGCCCGCATTCTGTTCCGTGAGAAGTGGCGTGTTTTTTTGTGTGTGTGTCTGTGTGTGTGTCTGTGTGTGTGTCTGTGTGTGTGTCTGTGTGTGTCTTTGTTTGTCTGTGTTTGTGTGTGTTGTGTGTGTGTGTGTTTGTCTTTGTGTGTGTGTGTGTCTGTGTGTGTGTGTATGTGTGTCTTCGGCCGTGTTGTAAACATTTAGGCTTGCCTGCCTACGATCCATCCTGGGTTTAACCAGGCTGGATTGTGTGAGGAGCTCACAAATCCTTGAAAGATCTGGTCAAAGTCCCATCGGTGAGCTCCTCCGGCAGGCAAGGCTGCGTTGGCTGGGTCATGTAGCCCGCATGCCCAGCCACCGCATGCCTAAACAGCTTTTGTTCGGCCGGATCGAGGGGGCTAAACGGGCGCGGCACGGGCTAGAGAAGAGATGGAGTGATGTGGTACAGGAGGACGTGGAGCTGAGTGGACTTGCCGATGACTGGTACCAGCGGTGTCAAGATCGGCCTCTGTGGAGGAGGCTCGTGAAGGACGCTACTGGGCAGTTGGAGGCAGTCGCCCTCCAACAACAACGGAGGGCGGAGGAGCGACGCTCACAACAACGAGCGGAGCGCCGGGTGGCTAAAGCACAGCAAGTTGGCACAGTAGGGGCACAGGTGGTGCATCAGCCAGTCATCTCGGTCATCTCAGTCAGTCGACCCGTGGCACCTGGGTCTGCCCCGTGACCTCCTGCCAGCGGGCGTTCGACACTTCACGTGGCCTCAAGGTGCACATGGCCTGGCACAAGCGTCGTGGTGACGTCACCGCCACTTAGTGGCGAATGGCGGTTGTTGTTGTTGTGTGTGGTGTGTCTGTGTGTGTGTGTGTTTCTGTGTGTGTGTGCGCGGAATGGGGAGCGAGAGAGAGAGGCACCGAACCGCCGGTGGAACTTTGTCGTCGTTGTCGGCGTGCCGCTGAGCGAGCTGAGAGCCCGCGGCGCCGTTCTAGTCCATGTCGGCGTGTTGCAGATGGAGCGTGTGAGCGGTGTCTTTCGACCGTCGACCCTCCCCAGAGAAGCGGGATCTGCGTGCGACCTCTGCGGAGAGGACGGGCGTCTCGCGCAGTTCGCCCACTCCGCCTCGTCCCCGGTGCCTTCAACCCCTCGGGACACTGGAGCCCGAAGGAAGCGGAGGGTAGGAGACGCTCACGCTCGCACACGCGTTAGCACGCACGCACGCACACGTGAGTGCGCGTACAAGAACAGGCACGCTCGCGTGCCGTTTGGCTCCAACCCCCCGCCCCCCTCCCACCACAATCACCAGACACGTCTTTGCAGGGGTGTTCTTGCACGCTCACCTTGGCACGGTTTGTCCAGTGGTGGTGGTTCCCTATTGGGGGGGGGGGGCTATAATTTAGGGGGGTGATGGGGGGGTACCCCCCAATTTGTCAACTCCTAGTGAGATGGCAGACTTGGGGAGACAAAGGCGGTCGGGCGTGGTGCCTTCATTAGGTGCCACTCGCTAACGGCACTTGCCAAAGTAGCTCGTCCCGACAAGTCTGTTAACGCTATGTAAGGTGGGGGGGGGGGTGGAGATCTTTCTTCTTGTGTAACGAGAGATACGCATGCGTGGCAAGGAGACGCATGGATGTTCTCGGCAGCACCTGCGATCATCGCTTCTGTGATCGTCACACGCAGGGCCCCAGCGGCAGGAGATGGGGAAAGAAAACTCGCACGAGATTTGTTCCACAGACTCTATATCCCTCTTCCTAGAACTGTTTACAACAATTTTAATTTGACCAGGTTAAAGTCCACTGAGCTATTAGCCACAAATGAAAGCTCAACGAAGTGGCTCACGTGGAAATGTATTTGTAGCCAAATAGTCTGAACGCCGTGATGTCGATTCTAAATGTGGAGGGGGAAATCGGAGGACCCGGAGAAATATCCACTTGACCACGGGGAGAGAGAGAGAGAGACATGCCACCCCCAAATATACAGCAGCAGCAGGCATCAGGGTCGTCGGGGTCGAACTCACAACCTCCTATAGTCATCGGTGTTTACCCTTTCAACTGGTACAACAACTGACACCTTTATACAAGGCATCATGTTTGCAATAACCACAACACAAGCAGTCAAAATGCAAACAAAAAGAACAACTCTGATGATGATATGCACTGTCCTTGAAGTTGATTGCTCCACACCCGAGACAGCTTTTCTTAGAGCCTAGTCTCCATTGGTGTTGGGCCAGATGACGCCAAAAGGCCTTTTCTTTTTGTTTGCATTTTGACTGCTTGTGTTGTGGTTATTGCAAACATGATGCCTTGTATAAAGGTGTCAGTTGTTGTACCAGTTGAAAGGGTAAAAACCTATCACTATATTTTGCCACTGGTAGTGTAATCACAACCTCCTGTATACCAGGCGAGGTAGTTAACACCTCGCCATCGTGAAGCCAGTATCTCACTCCCTCTCTCTCTCTCCAGATGGGGACTGTAGATTGTCATGCGTGTCCGAACTCCCGCAGAATGTTTCAATGTGACCACGGCTGGAGCTCACCAGGGTTTCATGCAGGGGGATGATGGGCTGAGTCAACAGCAGGATTCTGACTCGCACTTTCTATTGCGAGCCACTCGCCGCGCCCTACCACTGAACCACACCTGACCGGTGTAGCGCATATTGCACGTAGGCGAAAGCAGATCATATCCTTACCCGGTAAAATAAATAAAGAACTAGTTTTACCGTCTATTTTTATATCGCATCATCATCACCGTAGCTCGGTCTGTGCCCGGCATGTAACATTTGTCGTTCCGAGTTCGTTCGACGTAGAGTAGTCGACCGCGGCCGTCACGCTCCACCAAAGCCGGCGCTCACTCCCCGCGGCGTGTGGCGCTTGGCGACAGGTCCCCCGGACGTGGAGAGGCCGTGCGAGTCCAGCCTGCGCTCCTGGAGCCCCGAGCTGCGCTCCGGGCAGCGGCGCACGCCGGCGGCGAGGTGCCCCCAGCCGTCCGGCTGCGTCCTGGAGCTCTCCTTCAGCCTGCCCAGCCTCCCCGAGCTCCTCAGCATCTGGGTCACCTACATCTTCCTGCACAACTCCCACCCCATCAAGGACCTGGTCATCCTCACGGCCGACGGGAGGAACGAGGTACGGCCCGTTCCCGCCCGCGTCGATCACAACGACGACCTCCCCCCCCCCCCCCAGGTGTTGGGGTTGTGCCACGCGTCGTTTGGGTGTGACGAGTCCCCATGGCGGTGAACGGAATAGTGTCGTCCGCACGAGTGGGCGCTCGACACCGAAGCTTGCGATGAGGCGGCCGAGCGGGAAGTGTAGGCCGTGAACAGCAGAGGGGGGACTGAGGACGGAGCCCTGGGGGACGTCACGTGGCGGAGCCCTGGGGGACGCCACGTGGCGCTTTTGTTTCAGGAGATGTGGACGAGCCCCCACCCTAACTGAGGATTGCCCGATCAGAAAGGTAGGACAGCGTCCACTTGAGTGCTGAGCCACATATACCTGAAGTCTGTCTTCAGGAGGGAGGTAAGGAGCGGGTGATTGACGGTGTCAAAGGGCGATGAAATGTCCAGACTTACAAGAGCAGCGATGGAGTCGATAAGCATTCAAATGCCATCGAGGACTCTGGCGAGTGTCGTTTCTGTTGAGTAGTTTGACGGTGAGCTGACTGGGAGGAGAGCACTAGTTTGGGGGAGGAGGTGACGTGGGGTTTGAGCTGGGCCAGGGCGATACGTCTTTCAAGGAGTTTAGAGAGGTTCGAGAGATTAGTGATGGGACGATAGCTGGACGGGTCATCCGGGTCGAGACTTGGTTTCTTTAACGGGGGGGAAATCGGGCCAGATTTGAGGTTGGACGGAAAAGACCCCGTAGAGAAGGAGGCATTTGCGATGTTCCTGATCATGATGGCGAGTTCCGGAGCACATCGCTTGAACAAGGAACCTGGAGAACGTCGAGTGAAGATGACTTCACGTGAAGTGATTGAATCAAAGAGAGAAAACGTCTTTTGAAGACACCGCCTTGAACGTGGTTAGAAAGGTGTCTGGGTGAGTACTTACAACTTCAGTTACTCCCGCAATGTGTACGGTATCTTGATCGTTTTAATTACTTGGGCAGTTTCAATGCTCTTGTTATTTGATTTGCTTTTGGTATTCAATGCACCGTTCGGCGTGGAGTTTGTACATTCTCTCCCCCTGTTCAGTGTGGGTTTCCTCTGAGTTCTCCCACGATCATTCCACAGCTAAACAAACACACCGTGTCACTGGCATTGGTCAAACATCCCAATGCTGAAAGCTGCCGGCAACTTACTCATTCGTGGGGCTGCATGTGGGCATCGGCCGCAACCACGATAAAACCTGGCAGGACCCTCTTCAAACAGTCTTGGGACTAAATTTTGATTTAAAGCTTTTCGTGACTGCAGGGATTCATCTTCTTGGTTCTTTCGGTAAAGTCACGTAGAAGGGAAGTAATAAAATAATAAAAAATAATAAAAATAAAACATAATAAAATTATTCTCACGACGTTTCGGCCACAACGCAAGCAGCCGTCCTCAGGTGAAAACCAGGTCCGTCGAGGCGACAGAGTCTGAATGAAACAGCACACGAGCTTGGAGCATATATATAAGCTGGGCGCATTGACAAAGGAATTTGCATATTAAGAGGAATTTAGCATATTTATGGGAAATGCAGGAATGTGATTAGTACTGCATATGCATGTGCATTATGCAGGATTAACAGCATTCATTGGCAAGCAAGCGCAGAAAAAATAATTACTAATCACACTCCGAGGTGTGTCATTTATACACTCCTCGGCAAGTACTCGCGTGGACTGTATGACAGATTTAAATTACACGTAACGGCATGGCGGGTGCGGATACCTGATGCACAAATGGAAACTTTTAAATATCTGGAGTCACGTGCGACTGGTCATCCAGAACAGAGACCGTACAACGCGTAGCGATGCAATTGCGCATCCGCAAATACGAAGAAGGCACCGCGGCGATGCACTCCGCCGCTCCTCGCGCAGTTGTCTGGCCCGACCACCCGCACGTGTGAGATTGTCGTCGTTGCTCCGCGTCGACACCCGCCGAACGAGAGAGGAAGATTACACGTCGTCGCCACGAGATGCCGCCTCGCTTCCGCAACTCTATCCTGACCCACCCCCACCACCACCCCCACCCCCACCACCACCCCCACCCACCACCACCACCACCCCACCACCACCACACCCCCACCACCACCCACCACCCCCACCACCACCACCACCACCCCACCACCACCACCACCCACCACCACCACACCACCACCACCACCACCCCACCACCCACCACCACCACCACCCCACCACCACCACCACCCACCCCACCACCACCACCACACCCACCACCACCACCACCACCACCACCACCACCACCACCACCCCACCACCACCACCACCCCCCACCCACCCCACCACCCCACCACCCCCACCCACCCCCACCCACCACCACCCACCACCACCACCCACCCCACCACCCACCACCACCCACCACCACCCACCACCACCCACCACCCACCACCACCCCCACCACCACCACCCACCACCACCCACCACCCACCACCACCACCCACCACCACCACCCACCACCACCCCCACCACCCCACCACCACCACCACCACCCCACCACCCCACCCACCACCACCACCCACCCCACCACCACACCACCACCACCACCACCACCCCACCACCACCACCCCACCCACCACCACCACCACCCCACCACCACCCACCACCACCCCCACCACCACCACCACCCCACCACCCCCACCACCCCCACCACCACCACCCACCACCACCCACCACCCCACCACCACCACCACCACCACCCCACCACCCCACCACCCACCACCACCACCACCCCACCACCACCACCCACCACCACCCCCACCACCCACCACCACCCACCACCCCCACCACCACCCCACCACCCCACCACCCACCACCACCACCCCCACCACCCACCACCACCCCCACCACCCCACCACCACCCACCACCACCCACCACCCACCACCACCACCCCCCACCACCACCCACCACCCCCACCACCACCACCCCACCACCACCCCACCACCACCCACCACCACCACCCCACCACCACCACCACCACCACCACCCACCACCACCACCACCACCACCACCCCCACCACCACCACCACCCACCACCACCACCACCCCACCACCACCCACCACCACCACCACCCCACCACCACCCCCACCACCACCACCACCACCACCCACCACCCACCACCACCCCCACCACCACCACCACCACCCCCACCACCACCACCCCACCACCACCACCACCACCCCACCACCACCACCCCCACCACCACCACCCCCACCACCACCCCCACCACCCACCACCCACCACCCACCACCACCACCCCCACACCACCCCCACCACCACCACCACCACCCCACCACCACCCACCACCACCACCCACCACCCCACCACCACCCACCACCACCACCACCACCCACCACCACCACACACCCCGCACCGTGAACCCGCTTGCGCCCGCCAGTCGCTGGGACCCCAGACGGTGTTTTGCGACGTGCCGCTGACGGTGCGCCTGGACTGGCTGCTGGCGCCGGTGGAGTCGGTGCGCATCCACACGGCGGACGAGCGGCTGGAGGTGGACGCCGCGCTGCTGCGCTCGGCCCCAGGCGACGGGCGCTGCTCCCGCTGCCGCCCGCTCTCCTACAAGCTGTCCCGCTCGCCGCCGTTCCACCCGCACGGGCACGTGGCCGTCGACGGGCCGTCGCGCAGCTTCGTGGACAGGTGCGCGGGGCGCTGGGGTGGTACTCTGTGCGAGTTCGCTGTGTACACGCAACGTGCGTGTACACGTGTGTGTGTGTACGCGTGTGTGTGTGTGCGTGCGTGCGTGTTGCCCCCACCGACCTCCTCGTGTGTCTTGCCGGCCTTGGTAGCTGGTCGCGAACAGCACTCGCCGCGGCGTTCCAAGCACACTCCTCAGTGTTGTCACGGTTTGGCTGGGACGGTGCTGCTCGGTGCGGAAAGGCCGCGTCCCCCATGTCCTTGAAGC